TCTTTCTTTCTTTCTTTCTTTCTTTCTTTCTTTCTTTCTCTTTCTTTCTTTCTCTCTCTCTTTCTTTCTTTCTTTCTTTCTTTCTTTCTTTCTCTTGTTGATGGCTGAAATCTAGCAGTGGGCAAAGCTATGATGGGAAATGCTAGAACATTTAATTAATTAATTAATTAATTAATTAATTAAAAGTTTTAATGAAAACAGAAGGAAATACCATTGAAGTACCAAAAAAATATATATCATGTTTCAAAATTTCAGCAAGGCAAGGGCACCACGAAAGCCTTACACAGTTAATGGCCTATAGCATGACTATCCTTGCTTTAAGAGATTTTGGAATAAGGTGTCTACATATGAGAAGAGTCTCCAAATTCTGAATGTCCAATGCTTTAATAAAGGGTTTTGCAAAGGACAGAAATGCCTGACTGCCATTGGTATCTAGTATAAGCCAGAAGAATGTCACATGCAAATGACATCATCACACAAATGATGCAAATGTTACAGTTAAATTCAAATTAAATAATTGGTAGCCTTTTGAATGATAACATCATGACTTAAAAGATGTCACTTGTCCTCCTATCCGTATGACTTCTGCTAAAATGCGTTAAACCTGCCATAAGTGTTTAACAGGATAGGAAATGTATTTATGTATCTATTTATCTATTTATTTATAGAATTTTAGCCTACTTTTCTTTAAAGCAGTGCCATGTATTTAGTGTCTAAAAGCCATTCAATGTAATTAAGGGCATATTTTACCTTAAGCTTCAGACCCACAAAATGAGTCTATACAAGTGCTGTCAGGAGAAAAATGAAAGCAGATATGGTCCTTAAAATGGACCATGTTCTGAAATTAAAGAGTAAAAGAACTGTTCATGAATTTCTGCTATACATTTAGAGTTGCTTGCAACAGTACAATGATGAGTGATGGGAATGAATTGGCAGGTCAATCCCTGGTTGATAATAAACTTAACACAGGTTATTTCAATTAGTGCAAAGTATGTTAAATCAGCAAGTTCAGACTGATGGCATTTTGCAACAATTCAGTTGTTTTGTTTCAGTTCAAGCACCTAAAATTTCACTGACTGCCCAGTCGGTTTCCACATGCCCCATTGCCTATTTTCCAGTTTCTGAACAGAAGCTCGGTTACATGAAGCAATCTCATGAGGTTGCTTTATCAGATCAATGAAATACAAGCTGACCAATCAATACATTTTTCAAGCATTCATGTGCAAAAGGAAAATGGGATTTTACGGTACATTTTCAGAAAACATGTCCCTTTATTATTATTTGGAATTTAATGCTGGCCATTGATACCAGCAATACTCACAACAGACTGTGATGACATGAAAATGACATCCTGCAAACTCTGCAATTATGTATTTGCATCATAGCGTCTGACACAATTACATAAGTTGCAGCAGTTCTATTATGTCATCATGTAGGTATCATCATTCCCCTCCCTGTCCATGCCCTCTCCTGGATGCCATGGCTAATACCTGGTTTCAGCAGTCATTGCATAGCTGCCACCATTTGGCAGGGAAGCAACAGCAATATCATTGCAGGGTATCTATTATATAATACTTTTGTTTAAACTATTTACATTTCCATTGAGGACTTTATTGGGTTTTGTAATAAGTCATTAGACCAAAATTAATGACTATTTCTAGAGTATAACTAAAGCTAAAATGAATTGGAATGTCTAACCCTTCACAATTGGTGTGTCTCACCCTTTTTCCATGGGCAGATACCTTTATATGCATAAGCTAAGTATATAATTCTTTTATTCAAAATATGTTAGTAGTGTACTTCAGATGAAACCAATAGGTGGAACTACCTGAGTAATTTGTCTGCGCTGAGAAGCTAAGCAGGATCAGGCTTGCTTAGACCATCAGGGAATTTCAGGGTTGTAGGCGACAGTGGGAAACAGAAAAACATTCCAGAAAAGACAAGAGCAAACTACTTCAGCACTCTTGCCAAGAAAACTGCATGGCTCTGTCCATGGAACCACCAGAAGTCAAGCTCAACAAAAGACTGTGTTTGCTTTAATGCCTTAAAGGCTTAATGACTTAAAGCCTTTCCCAATCTAAAGCTCTCAGATACACTATATCTATCTGGATAGTGCAGTGGTTACAGCACTGCCTTTTGACACGGGAGACCAGGGTTCAAATCCCGGCTGGTACCTACCTTACCAGTAGGGGTCCTTGGCCAAAGACCCTCTAACGTTTCACCTGCCTATCTCAAATATGAGAGTGACATGAACTAACAGAGTCATGCCAGCATGGATGATTAACAAGGTCCTCATCAGATGTTGGGAACCAGGACAATCTGATGATAAGTGGGCTACTGGAATAAACCATATATGGATGAGACAAGAGAACCTGGAATTGATGGAATGCTACTACAACAGTAGACCTAATGAGAGGGGATATATGAAACATATGAGGAACTATGGATGGACAGAAGATCTACATCCACACTAACTGAGAAACAGCTAGTTACCCAGCACTTCAGCATAGTGAAGAGGAAATTACTCTCACAACTTGAGACAGACCAACTACACACTACATCCCAGACTGGAAAACTTGTCAACTTTCTCCCCTTCTCCATCATTGGTTGGAGCATTAACTTGAATAACTATAATACAAAAGGCTGTCCATGAAGTCTAATTGATAGTATTTGGTCATGGACTTCCCAAGTACTCTCTTTGCTATTTCTTTCCCAACTAAAAAGCTACCCCATTCCTTCTCTGTTTTTCATGTCCTGAGTAGTAAACAATTTAATTTTCTGACTAAATATGAACAATTCCAGCCCATTTCAATTTTGTTGATGCTTCAGATCTATAGTAGATTCATTTCATCTTCACTGCATTGAACTTTCTCATGTTCATGCTTATGTTTCACATTCCCTCTGTAATTCTATTTTTGCAGAAGAGACTTGCATAAGTTTTTATGTTTCTGAGTGTCAGTATCAATTAGATGTCCAGAAGGCTGTCATAAACACTATTAGTACTCTCAAAGATCCTCAGCTCTTCCTCAGTAGCATGTTAAGTACTATCTGACCTGAGTGGCCCATCATCCAGCACTATATTATCAGTCACTTTCTTTTGTCTATCCACATGGTTTTCTTGGAAAAATGCAGAAGTGGTTTATCCTCACCTTCTCCCATGCAGTATGGAACAATGTATTTGTAAAGTGATCATCCACCTCCTGCATCCTCCTATGTTGCTTCACCCCAGTATAGATGCCTACTTGCTTTTGCTGGTCAGTTGGGATGACCTTCTTGCCTTGGATAATCCTACTGGGAGTATGTATTCTTACAATACACTCCTGGTATTCTTTGCTCATCCCTCCCAGGAACACCACCATCACCCCCGCAATGATGAGGCAGCATAGCAGGACTTGCATATTTTTATGTGTTTGGAATGGTTAAATCCAGAAAGTGAACATTAACAGAAATAAATGTCTTGTCTCTGAAAGCAAGAGCTTGGGTTGTTGAAAGCGGTGATCAAGCCACTGTCCCTGTGTACAGAATCTTTTCATCAGCCTCCTTTTTTAAAGATACCTTCAGAGATTTTCACTCACTGTACATTGGCAATTTTAAAGGCACTATACTTATTAAAAAGCTATTATCTCCCTGGCTGTATATTTCTTCCCCTACCTCTGCAGTCACTGATCACATGCCTCATACTGAATGGCCTCTGTTGTTGCTTTGTTTCCCCTTCCCCATCAGCTCCTCTGGTCTCAGTCAACTAGGCATTTTTTCCCTCTGCTGAATTTGCCAACTGCTTTCCTCATTGTCCCATTTGAAACTCTTAATCCCTTGTGCTCTTGGGTGCAGTTCCTCCACCCTCTTTGAACTGAGGGGAATTCCTGCTGAGCAAGAGGAAATATCTCAATTTCCACCCTTTTATTCTTTGCTTACTCATGATCCAATAGCTTACTCCTATTGATATATTACTGTTGTTTTATTTAAGCTCTTTTTCACTCTTCATTTTTCCCTAAGCTTCCTTTTTTCGGTTTCTTCTTTGCCATGGCACCTTCTGCATGGCTAACTAATTCCACTTACTTGCATTCCCCCACTTTCTGTCCCTCATGCACACACCACTCATCCACTTTATTCCTGCATTTATACCTTGAGAAAAAAGCCCTTCCCCTGAGAGATCTCTAACTCTAATGTCATCCTTAGCCATAGAAAAAAGGAAATAGTAAGCTACTTCCAAAAATCTTGCCAAGAAAACTGTAGGGACTAGTCCAGGCAGTCACCAGGATTTAACTGACTCAAAGGGATGCATGCATGCATAAATAAATAAATCCTTACCTCTCTCTGTCTCTTCCCTTAATCTCTGTCACCTGTTTAATTTGACCATCCCTGGAGGTCCTATTCCTTTAATAAATGCAACCATCTGGCAAACTCTTGTTACAGACCCTTTGCATCAATATTTTTAACTCTATTAATTATTTCAAAACTCTAACTACAACCCAAGTGTTCAGGAACAGGGATGTTTCACATATCAGCTTGTTTAGTGGAACGCAGAGATTTGCATAAAATAAGCCACCAAGGTATCCCCTAAGCATATTCAGTCACAGAATATGCTTAGGGGATACCTTGGTGGCTTATTTTATTAACAGAATGCACAGTATCTGTTGAATAAAAATAAAACCAGGAAAAGCAAGAAGAATGGAAGTGATAGAGTATAATTAATTGAGACTCTGGAAAGGCAAAAAACAAAACAAACAAAAAAAAAGCCTTGATTCAGAAGACTTTTTTGAAAGGCCAGGTGTGTGGACATTAAAGAAAAAGCATTGTGACTCAGTTGGAATTCTAAAATAAATCTACAGTGTAATAATTTTTCTGCCTGAAAACAATGCAGAAAATCAACTAAGTTTTTCTTTTCCTAAGTAACAAGCAAAAGAGGAATTGATCGTAGAATTCTATTGAAACCATTAATCGAGATGTTACTGTTATTTAGTTAATTAAATCTCTTTCAGTAATTGCAATAAGCCGAGGGGTGTTGTTGCTGCTGTTGTTTAAGCTGTCACTCTTTGCTTAAAAGCTATTTGCTAATGCATAACCATCTATATCTGGGTAAGAGAATGATGTTCTATAACTTTAAGTGTATATCAAAGATAACAACAATCAGCCTTGAGCTTAAAGGAACGATTGCCTCTTGTTTTTTGTTGCTCAGAACCTGAAGCGTGTGGCCGAAACATGGATGGATGAGTTTGCTGAATATGTTTATCAGAGACGGCCTGAATACAGGCATCTCTCCACTGGTGATATTTCAGCCCAGAAGGAGCTGCGCAAGCACCTCAAGTGCAAGGACTTCAAGTGGTTCATGGCTACAGTGGCTTGGGATGTTCCCAAATATTTTCCACCAGTGGAGCCACCACCGGCTTCATGGGGAGAGGTGAGGAACATGCTTCAATCCAGGATTCAACCTAATCCCACCTTTGCTGAAAATAGTTTGGTACAACTGTGCATTTCCAGCAAAGCTACTGCTGCTATACTACAGATTTCACAAAATCAGCTTTGACTTTCACGGTCAGTGATTAAGCCACTAGAACTACTTAAGAATCAGTTGTTGAATTGTGAAACAGTTGCATTTGGTCCATCTTAATTGATCTATGCATACACAAAAATGTACTGCATCATCAACGTTTTGCCCCTTTGACATTTTAAGAAAAATATCTTTATAAAATTCTAGGTTTTCATGAAATAATTCATCTTTAAAATGAGTAAATTGTATTTTCTTTAGAATATAGTATAGTAATGGAAATGGGGTGATGTATATGTGTGTCAGACTAATTTTCTCTTTTGGAGATTAAGGATAATCCTAAATTCAGATTTATCTTCCTTTGGGTTAAATATAATACTTATGTGCACATAGTAACTTGATAGAGAGCTCTCCTGTTCTTGTTCATACTGAGATGAAAATACAACTGTTTGGGTCAATCTGAACAAATTACAAGTGATGTTTTGAAATATTTGGTCTTCTTGGTCTATTTGCTGTTGTGCTTTGTTGATAATTTACTCTTAGGTTTCAGTCAATTACTGGAGTAGTTTCAATTAGGTTGTCAACAGGAGGTCTATTTGTGTGTTTCTTGCTGTAGCTTTTCTTTACATCATTCTCCAAAATATACCTATGGCCAAGATTAAGCCCAATACTTTCTAACCATGTTTGCAATTGAACAGAATGTTCTAACTTAAAAAAGTGTATATTGCTCTTCTCCACTAATAAAAAATGCACAACCTGTGCATTGTATTAACATAACATGTGTATAGGGGATAGTACAGCAAGACAGGGGAAACTGTCTTGATTGCCTTATCCCAGCACAGCCAAAGGCCCTCCAGGTATGATATTACTGTATCTCCTTTCTAGCACTCTTGATGGGAGGATATTAAATGTAAATATTGTGGTTATTCTCCTGTGTGGAACAGAAAGAATATTTTAAAAATATTTAGGAGTAGAAAGAGGGCTATTCCATAGGTCTCCATTATAATAATTCAAAGCATTGGATCTATCTCTCTGCAAGTGTATATCAATGATTCTTTGTTTGACCTTTCCTGGAGCTTTTTTGATGTGCTTGTTTTGAGGGGGGGGGGGAGCATTGTTAATTATTGGATTGAGAGACAACAATAAGCTAAATCCATAGCTACATCTTTTTTTCCATGAGGAGGCATACTTATCAACAAGGATTGCTTGGGCTAGAGATGTGTCCAAAATAGTGTTGACCACTATTTTAGATGGAAGTTTCTCATATAAATCTCCACTAAAGCAAAGCCAGGTTCCAAAGAAATGCATTGGTATGCAATGAGGAACACAAAGCATAATTCTTCAGAATTTTGACTGTTGCTTCTAAGTTCCTTATGCCTTTATAGGTGCAAAGCTGTGTCCCATATAGTAGAAGGGTCAGAATTTCAATTCTTTAGAGTTTTAATGCTGCCAAGACAAATTTGTTAGTGTTGCAGGTGGCAAAACTAATTATGGTGTTGGAAACTTGGGGCAGAGCTTGTATTTGCATGAAGGACTTCCACTGACAACTTTCATCAGAATATTGGAGAAGAGTAAAGAGTTTAATTTAACTTCTTCTCTTGCTATAATATGAATATTATTAGTTTCCCATTCCAGTGGTTGTTTTTTGCATTTTGAAAAGGCAATAATACCTTAAATAACATTTCTGGTTTGGCCTTTAGCTATTCCATCTGAAATCATCCTTTTTAATTTTTTCTTTTGTGGGGGGAGGAGTTATATTCCATTTATTAAATAACTGAGACCTAAAGTGAAAAACAGTCTGTGTTTTAAAATTATTTCTAATCCTGTTATGCTGAGATCATCTAATTTCTTTTCTCTCTGTATCAGTAAAACTATTTTTATAAGCAAAGTACGTGCCTAGAGAGTTCCAGAGAACTTCGAACTGTTGCTGCTATCACTGTTAAGTCATAGTAGTACAATAACATGGCAGTACAAAATAGAGTTTGGTATCATGATTAAAGTGCTGGACTATAAACCAGGAGACTCTGAGTTCTAGTCTTCCCTTAGGCATGAGATCCAGTTGGGTGACTTGGGGCCAGTCACTTTTTCTCAACTCAATCCCTTCACAGGGTGGTTGTGAGGAAAATATGAGGTGGGGGCATTCTGCACACTACCTTGAGTCATTAAGTTGAGTTGTATAAAATAAAGGAAGGATATACATATAATAATAATAAATAACATATGACAAGAAAATGCAGAAGTTTCAGTGAGGAAGCATCTTGCATTTTCAAGTAGAGTTGCATGGATGTACAATTAAGTCTAAGTGTTTTGATTTAAATATGATCTTTAACATTTTCCACTCTGTCTGCAATTTTTTATTTCTCCCATCTGGACATTTTATAGAGAAATGACAGCTCAATATTGTCTTTTCTGTATATATTATGTGTGTCATTTCTACAATACTTAGAAATGCCAAAGCATGCATGCAATTCAAGCTGCTTTGTATAAATCCTACTTTATCTCACAAAGCCACAGAATCAGTTTGAAACTCCTTAGTTTGACTCAGATTAATACAAACCTCAAGCACATTGTTAAGGAGCTATCCTTGGGATTTCATCTTTCCTGAACTCTGTGATGTAGTTTGTGGCTCAGAAAGTATTGACATGTTTTTAAATGTTTAGTTTGAAACAAAACATTGACGTATGGATGCTCAAATGTAAAGCATACTTACCAAATTACATACTTAACTACATAATTATGAATTAATGTATGAACAATTAATATATTAATTAATGGACAGATAAAAAATGAACAGAATAACTTGTGCATCCCTTAGCAGAGTTTCACAGAGTTCTTCGGCTATATTGCAGAATGGTAATTGTTGTGCAGACAGCTTTCTTTCAATTGCTCCTTCAACCTTCCTCCTCTTCTTCTTGGAGAGATGCATGGGAAGCTGATCTTTCTGCTCATATGGATAGGGATGGTCACTGCAATGTTCACTCATCCTCCAAGGAACCTAATAGCTGTATCTGGGATGGAGGATAGTACATATCTCCATCCAGAGCTAATCACGCGTGGAACAAAGTGCAGCTAGAGCTGTGCTGGGATCCCTTCTTTCTTTCAACTGTTTCTGCTCCCCAATGTCAAGACACGTTAGAGCAGAAATTCTGCTCCTGGGTGTCTAGAAGACAGTGCCTCTTGCCTAGATCTCAGTGAAAGGAAGTTCAGCCACATAAATCTAATCTTTGCACGGAATTTAAGCATTTCATTTTAATTGTGTGTGTGTGCGCACATGTATATATGTTCCTGGAGAAAACCTATCTATGTGGTCGCTGAGAGTGAACACCAGCTTGATAGCACATAATCAATCTGTGTGTGTCTGTGTGTGCATACAGAGAAAAACATACAAGGACACATACACAGGCATACAACACATGAACATATGCATATGTATATTATACCACAGTGACATGAAGGTTCAAAAAGGAGAGCTCTGTATTTGAAACCACTAACAGAGTTGAGAAAGAATCAAGGCATCAGACTGTTTGAAACCTTTATTATTATGACTTGTTTCAGCACCAGTTCCTTGCCTTTAATAACTCAAAATCATCTTATCTGCTTGCTACGTTTATGCACTGTAAAGATAATAGTTTAGAAAGCATCTCATCTGGAATAGAGCACCACCTTGGTGCCACTCAGTTCCCTTCATCAAACTTAATGTCCTCTGCAGTACAGAGCTTTCTATTTTATCTGAACTTAAGCATTTAGTTTTTTCCCTTCCCTTCCCTTCCCTTCCCTTCCCTTCCCTTCCCTTCCCTTCCCTTCCCGTCCCTTCCCTTCCCTTCCCGTCCCTTCCCTTCCCTTCCCGTCCCTTCCCTTCCCTTCCCGTCCCTTCCCTTCCCTTCCCGTCCCTTCCCTTCCCTTCCCGTCCCTTCCCTTCCCTTCCCGTCCCTTCCCTTCCCTTCCCGTCCCTTCCCTTCCCTTCCCGTCCCTTCCCTTCCCTTCCCTTCCCTTCCCTTCCCTTCCCTTCCCTTCCCTTCCCTTCCCTTGTTTGCAGAAAATATTTTATGTGATGTCTGCTGTGAGCATGTATTTAAAAATGTTACGAGATATTGGTTAGCTTAAAAGATGCCATATTGGTTAGGCATTCAGCCTAGAGAATCTGATGTCTGAAATCTGCACTGCACTCTCTCCCATACTAATTATTGTGGCTAAGCCAAATATAGCACTGATTTAAATTTAAATGAAGTGAATGAGCAATAGACTTCCCTCTTTTTAATTTTGCACCCTTGAATTTTTTTTCTGGCACTCTTCTTATACCCTGTGACATTTTTTTAAAATATAAGAAATATTCGGTAAATCTGTGGGGTTTGAAAGCTTTTATGTTGTAAGATTGCATGGTAGTAATCCTGACAAGAACGTGAAGGCACTGGCTGTGATAATCAAGGACAATACAGTTTATTCAACTGAGCAGCATTTCTGACTTCATTTGCCATATATTCCAGACTCTGCAGATTGCTTTATTTAGACGTGCTAGTCCTTTGCCACCTCCAGCGTTTGTCATTCTTAAATGCTGCTAGAGTATCACTTGGTATTTTTCTAATGCAAACCTAGTTTTCAACAGGCAGATGAAATTCATGAAGTCATCACTTTGACAAATCCATAGTCAGATCACTGCTAGAAAATGGAGCCTGGGTTGACTGCAATTAGTCATCCAAATAACTTTGCTAAATTTCTTTTATCACATTTATATACTGCTGATTAATGTACATGTTTTCCATCTCTTTTCTCATTCCTCACATAGTCCAGGAGTGTATGTTAGGCTGAAAGATAAGTGATTAGTGTAAAACAAGTGCTAGTCATAACTAGTCAATTGTTTTATAATTCATATAACAAATTGTTATATAATCACAAGCTGAATGAGACAGTAGTGA